CCCATTGTGCCTGTGGCATGGAATCAATTGTAACAATTTTTCTAGGGTAAAGGTAATTGAGCTCACTGAGAAAAATATTTCTGAGATAATTTCATCTTCAATCTTTCATTTGTCAGAGATTGAGACTATCGGACATTCAACTAAACGATTCTTTGGTGAAAATCATAGTGACTTGGTTTCTCCTATGTCACTTCAATATCTTAATCTTAGTAAATACCATTTGACTGGTACAATTTCAAACTGTTCAATTTCACTGAAAATATTAGATCTCTGTAGTAACCTGCTTTCAGGGAAAATCTTGCCACAAATTGGAGTGTGCACGAATCTAAAAGTACTTAACCTTGGTGACAATAATGTCAGCAATTTGCAAATCTTGATTCCTGCTCAAATCAATTCGATTGGCCAAATCTCTGGTGCGTTAAGCAATATGAAGAGCTTGGACTCGATTTATTTATGTTGTAAACAACTTCCCACCGAAATTCCAGAAGAACTTGCTGATTTGGTTTCTTTACCACTAAATAAGAGTAGTACTCCATTTGCTTTTGGAAAGTGTCAAATATTCTACCTTTTACCATCATCTCTCCTTGTAAATTTCTAAAATCTTCCATTTGAGACAGGGTTGGAGATGACAGAGATGCGAGATTAATGTGGAAAACAAAAGACTATAGCCTGTGAGTAAGGGTTTGTCACAGATTGAGACTATCAATCTTTCGATTAATCAATTCTCTGGTCAAATTCCCAATGATTTGGTTTCTTCTATGTCACTTCGATATCTTAATCTTAGTTACAATGATTTGACTGGTACAATTCCAAACTGTTCAATTTCAGTGGAAATATTGGATCTCCATAATAACTTGCTTTTAGGAAAAATTCCACCACAAATTGGATTATGCTGGAATATAAAAGAACTTGATCTTGGTGAAAATAATTTGGTGGGAAGAATTCCAAGCTCCATATCAAATATCAGCAGTTTGCAAATCTTAAATCTTGATCATGACGAATTTTTTGGCCAAATTCCACGTGCATTAGGCAAACTGAAGAGCTTGGAGTCGATTTACTTTGGCAATAACCGCCTTTCTGGCAAAATTCCGCAAGAATTTGTTGATTTAGTTTCTTTGATTCTTCTTGATCTTGCCTACAACAATTTCAGTGGACAAATTCCTTCCTCGCTTGGAAACCTCACCAATCTTCAATGCCTCTCCCTCTTCAACAACAATCTCAATGGACAAATTCAATCGTCATTTGGGAACCTCACCAATCTTAAAGAACTTTACATCTACAACAACAATCTCAGTGGGCAAATTCCATCCTCGCTTGGAAACCTCACCGATCTTGAATATCTCTACCTCTACAGGAACAAACTTACAGGCTTGCTTCCTAGATCCTTTTTTGGCCTCAAAAAGCTTACTCACCTTGATCTTAGCGAGAATCATTTATTTGGTGAGATCCCAGAACTCATGATTGAATTGCAGAGCTTAGAGGGTCTTCAACTTTTCTCCAATGACTTCACGGGTAAAATTCCAAGTGCTCTAGCTTCTCTGCCTTATCTTCGAAGGATTAGTATTTTCTCAAATAGCTTGACTGGAGAAATTCCTTCTTTCATCTGCAATATAAGCTCCATCGAAGTTCTTGATCTATGCTATAACAACTTAAGTGGAACCATTCCACCATGTCTGGGAAACTTCAGCAAAAGTCTTTCAATCTTAGATTTGCAGTTGAATAGTTTTCATGGAACCATCCCTGAAACTTTTGGTGAGGACTGTGGGTTGAGGTTTCTCAACTTCAATGGCAATAAATTAGAGGGGTCTTTACCACGATCCATGGCTAATTGTAGAAACCTGGAAATGATGGATATTGGTGGCAACAAGTTAAACGGCACATTCCCCTATTGGCTAGATACTCTGCCAGAATTACAAGTTCTTGATTTACGGTCAAATAAATTGCGTGGTGTCTTACAGAATTCGAAGACTATCCATTCCTTTCCCAGGTTACGAATTCTTGACCTTGCTAACAATGAATTCACTGGTCCTTTGCCCAAAGGTATAATAAAAAACATGAAGGCCATGATGAATCTCAATGAACAACAAAGTTCTTCGCAATATATGCATGGAGACTATTATAATTATTATGTCCATTTGGCAGTGAAAGGATTTTACATTGAATTTTCATTCATATCTACAAGATTCACAAGCCTTGACCTTTCAAATAATAACTTTCAAGGAGAGATTCCAAATGTTATTGGAAAGCTTAGTTCACTTAGAGGGCTCAACCTTTCTCATAACAGCCTTAGTGGTCACATCCCTACATCAATGGGTAATTTGACCAATCTGGAATGGTTAGATCTCTCTTCAAACAAGCTCATTGGGAAAATTCCTGACGAATTGAAAGATATGACATTTCTTGCCTACTTAAATCTTTCACATAACCAACTCACAGGACCAATTCCTCAAGGCAAACAATTCAGTACATTTGAAAATGGCTCATACGAAGGAAACTTGGCACTATGCGGTTTTCCATTGTCAAAGTCTTGCAACAACGATGGGAGAAAACAATCATCTCAATCATTCTTGAAAGAGGCAGATGATCCAGAGACTAAGATCAGTTTTGGTTGGCAAGTTGTGTTGATGGGCTACGGATGTGGACTGATATTTGGAGTTGTTATCGGATATGTTACATTCAGAAATGGTGAACCAAAATGGTTTGTGGCATTGTATGGAGTCAAATATCATCGAAAGGGAAGAAGATGCTCACGGAAGTAGTCAATGCAGATGACTTTGGAAGTTCTTGTAACAAGTGTTTCTTTGTGCTCAGTTGCAGTTGTTTTCATGGACATGTCTTTGTATTTTGCTATTAGTACTATTGATTGTTGTAATTAAATAGCCATGGGCTTCATCAGCAAATACATGGCAGTGAAGTGTAGCACCTGCTTTTGCTTAATGCATGACTTCTCTCGCAATTTGCTCTTGATCATTTATTCTTACATGCATCTGTACAAAAGAATCTCATTTCTGTTTATGTGGAAAATACGGCTACCATTGCCTTAATGTTAAAACAGATACTAAATTCACCAATTGAAAAAACTAGAATGACTACTCTTCAAAAACAATATTTGTATAAAAAAGGTGCTAACCATTGAAGCAGTTTAAGGGTTTTACATAGTTAAGAAAAAGATTTGACTGATTGGAAATGGACACAACCTTTGGGGTTAATTGGATAAGGATGCAGCTTCTCGACCAGGCACTGGAGAAGCAAGCTTTGCAAGACTAGAAACCATGGAAGAAGAAGGGAAATACAAAGGAAAAACTATAGAACAATATTATCACGATGCAAGATGAGTGAAGACTGTTAGCGAATAACAATTGCATGGACACGTGCAAGTAGTTTGCCAATATGTTTAGTGCTAAGTATGCTTCTAGCTGATAACCCTCCTAATGTTATAACAGCTTCAGCTTTATATGTTGTGTTGTTTTTATCTTGCTTCAACACCTGTTAAGCGGTTGTTACAGGTGTTATAATCTCAATTATCTTGTAATACATATGATCACTGTGCGATCATCATGTACTGTTAATGAATACACTGGTTTTGCTTATCAGCTCATTAGTTCTCTTCATCTTCTCTCTTCTTTGAGTTGTAGTAATATATCATGACTTTAACGAAGACAAAAAGTAACCAATTAAACAAGATTAGGGTCTATAATTTGCTGCTGAACACTACTCCGTCTCATAGAATTCGTTAGATTACAAAGACCATAAAGTCTGATAATACTGTCTCGCAAGCTTTTTAGTGAAGGGAGGTCAACATCTACGGATATTGTCTCATGACAATACTGTGGATCTTGGCAGAGAATCATAACAGCCTCCGTAGCATTATCCCTCACCTCCTCTGAACCATCATTTAACAATTCAATCAGACGATTAACAGCTCCTGTTTCAATTATTGGCCCTCGATCTGCCTTGTTACAACTCAACTGAGAAATAGCTCCAGCTGCTGTGCCCCTCACGTCACTGTCCTCAGACTACGGAAGCTCAACCAGCTGGGGAATTGCATCTGAGTCTCTAATAAAAGGTACTGAATGCTTGTAATCTGAAAGGAGCCAAAAAACAGAAGCAGCTTCAGCTTTTGCCTCATTATTTCCTTTCCCTAAGGATTCTCACTAAGTGGTCAGCTATTGAAACCGCATTTTCTTCATTAAGAGCTAATCGACGGAGTGCATTCTCTGCAACATCCCAACCATGAGGATCAGGTCCCTGAAGAAGCTCAGCTAAAAACGGAATAGCCCCAGCTCGAGCAACATGACCGAGTTAATCAATCTGAGTTGAAATCGCTCCAAGGGTGTTGCCTGTCACAAGTTTTATGTCGCTGTCTCCAACTTGAAGCAACGCTACAAGCACAGGTATAACACTCAACCCAACAAAGGTACAGTTCCTAGCAGCTGTTTATGGAGTTTCAGCTTCTTCATTTTTGCTTTCACAACATTTAGAATATTATATTCGATATTTGGAAGTTTCGTCTGGAAAAGCTTAGACATAAAAGTCAAATTTACCAAATCTATCACCGTTTTGTAAACAATGAAATTTTATCACTACATTTGAAATAACGACAAGATTTATTTTTTTACAAATACCAATCGCCATTTAATGTAACAATTCTTATAAAGTTTATGTTGAAATAGACCCTAATATTATACTTGATATTTGAATGTTTCTTTTTGGAAAACTTGAAAATAAAACCTAAATTTACTAAATTTATCACTGGTTTTATAAGGTATGAAATTTTATCAATAACGATTACATATGTGAAGCGGAATGTCCATTTCCCATATTGAAGGACCGAAACTAAATTATAATCAAAACTTCAAGAATTGAAAAAATAAACACAAAACATTTTTGAAATTCCAAAGTATATTGAACATGGAACGAAGTATACTCAACCAATGCTTTGGGCAATTGGTCACACGCACCTCTTTCTAAACCAAAAAACCCTAAAGCAAGAGAAAAACTTATGACACAAAAATTTGCTGCCAATAATTTAACTGTCACATACAAAAATTTAATCCGTTCTGCACTTCAATATGAAAGCAGTGCAATATCACATTCTTTTTTTTTTTTTCCCCTAGTTATTGAATCCTGTAATGAACAAATAAAATCATTTCCTGAAAATATTCCGGGTGATCTGTTCTATATATTCAACACCCAAGATATGAGGGGGCGACCGGAGACTGAATACAGATTGAATTTATAACATTTGAGGCAGAGAATAATGAGATGATGAAACCCCACCTGCAAATTCGTAGTCATCAGAAACAAAAGCAAGTCATGATGCATAACTTTTTATTACGGTGCCAAAATAGAACCGTCTCTAGCGAAAACTGGATTCGAAAGGGTTCAGAACAAAAGGAGTAATTGTTGAAACCTTTCAGAGAATTACCAGTACATCATGCATTTTGCTGGACTTGCCGGTGTATTAGTGTTATCCAATCAACATAACCACTGGTACCGCCCATCTGGTCCTCGAGAAGATTTACAAGAAGCAGCAAGCCTTCCCTGGGTTGCTCACCTTGTCTTACAAGATAAGAAAGTTGATAATACGAACAGTTGCTCTCTCTTAGTTTCTTCAATGCCCCCATCAGCCTTCTTGACATTTCATTATCATGCTCGCTAAGGGTAACCTGATTTTTAAATAGGAAACATAAAGAACCAGGTGAATTAAGTACAACCTCATCATGGCACAGTAGGCCAAGGAAAGGTCAAAGGAACAGATTAACTTCAGATACGGTTATCATGGAGAAAAAATTTGTATCCACTAAAGTTTCCAAAATATAAAAGAACCATCAAAACAAGCGAAGCAAATTACATAGAAGATTACATTGCCACAGTCATTGGTTGTGATTGACATTCAGTCATATATATTTAGAACCTGTATGATAAAGACCACTCCAAAATTTCACTTATTAATCAAATCAGACATATTGTACTCAAGGCAGAGTTCATAAACAGTAAGGCCAACACTTATGGCACATCTTATATATGTTGAAGACCAACAACAATATCAGTATCCTTTATACATAAAATGGTCACTTAAGCAGATGAAACATATACTAATATCCAACAATCTTGCCACCATAGAATAACTTCACCAACAAGAGATCATACCTTTGATAATTCTGCTGCAAAGTCCGCCCCAAGTAAATTCCTAGCTATATCAGGCGAAAGCATTCTACCAAACCATATAACAAAGCGGAAGCCATCATCATATATATAAAGGCCTCTTGAATCTAGGCTTTCTGCAATCAATGGCAGTCTCTTCACAATGGTTTTTAAATCATCAGCTTGAGCAGACTGCAAAGATAAGACAGAAGTGATATTCAGTTTGCAAAATCTACATCTTTATTCAAATTATTCGAAGGCACAAAACCTTTTACCTTCAAAAGGTACTCATCAACACGAATCAAGCTAGGATATAAAAGATTCAACAACTTTTTAACAGGTAATGCCATCATGGTGAAACCTGCTGCACAGCGTTCATCAAGCTGAGCATCAGCATATCCTCCTCTTAGAGGTACTGATTTACAGAGAGCTAATCCATACAAACACAAGAACTTTAGAGACTCTGGATAAATCATCCTAGCTCCCAAGCGATGCTGGACAGCATAGAGATTGCGGTATTCTCTAAGTGCTTTTACAATCCTTAGTTGCAAAGAATTTCTAGCATCTTCAAGTTTATTGGTCAAAGTTTTCTCGATTGCTGCAAAATATCAGTTGATTAGAAAATATAAAGGACCCTCTAAAACCAAGATCCACTAAACAAATAGCATCTCTTGAACAAGGGTTTTGTTTAACTTACCTAACCTACAAAACAAAGAAACAATGGCACCAGTATCAGCTTGGCGGTACATCTCTCCCAGATCTGTAACAACTGGGGCAGCTACTGTATGTACTCTGATACGCCTCTCTCCGCATGATGCCGTGTATCTTTAAATTGTTAAAGAGACATCAGCAACCCAAATCCTTTTCCACTTCTAAAAGTAAGCCAGCCAGTTTCAGCAAACAATGGAATAACCCAAACAATTAAAATTGATATAATTTCAACAAGCTCAATGCAGAGAAAAAAAAAATTATGCATCCAGTTGTGGCTTGCAAACACAAGGAAATATCGATATGAAACATAAAGACTCAAGGTTCAGCAAGGATTCTCTGGATAATGCACAAAGAAAAAGATATATAATATATATGTTTTATGAAATAGGAACTTTATTTATTTTATAAGAAAGGACCCAAAGTTCCGTCAGCGACAAGCTCTTCCTGTTCAAAATTAATTGTAAAAGGAACCAGAGACTAGCCTGTTTAGATAAGGATCAGGACAGATATAAAATGACACACAATTAAGGAACTTCTCAAATTTAACCAAGTAAAATTTTTGCTCCAAGAAGACGCTCACAGCTATTGCAAACAGAGCCACACAATACCAAGCATCCCACTAAAAGGATACAGTAAAGCGACTTGGAAATAAACAGTCTGAGTTGTCAGCAGTGTCTCCTCAAAGGATAACTGCATCGCATATGCTTTATCACAATCCACAGCCGGAAGTGCTAATAAATCTGTGGACCTCAGCATAAAGTTCCCATGATAAGATGTAAATCGAATCCCTGGTGAAAGTACCAAATGACAAGAATCAACTGCTTTGTCATAACAAAATCATACGGAAAAAAAAAAGAACAAATAAATAGAATTCTCTATGAGCATTAGCCCCTGTCAGCATATAGATTGAAAGGAAAAATCATGTAGCTAACCCCAACTACAGTGGGATTAAGGCTTAATAGCATTGAGTTACCGGTGGATTCAACAATAAATAACAAAAGAACGGGGCAGACCTTTTCCGCATCTTATGCGCATAACTGCTTCCCAGGCTGTTTCCCTTGTGAGATCTCTGGCTAATTCATGCCTCAACTTCTCTCCATGAATGCCTGATTGGAAGCTCGGGTAATAATATACTTGACCTCCGGAATATTTTGCCAGGGTTCCTACATTCATAAAAGAGATATCAAGTATGTTTGAAAGCTCTTCCAACTTCAATATCATTTTTAACTTGAAAGTCCAAAAGGACATGATTTTTGTACCTAGGGAAGCTACGTCAGTGTATTTGTCACTGAAAGCATAAATATTAACCCCTATCTGGTACTTTGTAAGATCAGCAGCCATTTGCTTGTAGAAGGGATCTTCTGGTAATCTCAATGTATGTTCCTTATCAGTTCCATACACACGAAGATCATCCCCACGCAACTTCAAGCGCCCAACCCCCAGCGAAGGCAATGTGTTCTGGAAAATTAGCAACTTTCCTCCAAGTTGACTCTGCAATAAATAGGTGGCCAAACAACCATTAAAGAATACGATCATCAGCAAGAAACTAAAGGGCATCTCATTGTTAAAAGCTAATAGTAGCAAACAACACACCATAACCATGAATGCTGCTTTAAGTGCAGGACCAAAAGCAGATTCCACATTCACATTGTCCTGAAACATAGAGGGCAAGCTATCTAGGAATGTTTCAACCACATTTCTTGATTCAGACAAGTTGACAAGGAGATCATCTGGCAATGGGACAAATATATCATCCAGATCTGAAACTACCATCATTTGAGGTTGTGTAAGAGATGACTGCAGAGACAAAAACCAAAAGTTAGTTTGGAAGTACTTCAGCTGAAATAGAGAAAAATTGAGGCATCTCAGAAAACTTTTCCACTGATCACACAAGTCACTTGCCTTCATATTGTAAAAATGAATTGTGCTATCGAACGTAATAAATCCAATCTGTGTTCTAGGGAAGCCTGGCAGCTCATCCAAACATGAACGGATAGTTTGGGCAACAACCTATGCAGATATGTTTTAAGTCAGCAGAAACCATTAACATGCAAATACAATAAGCAGAAGTACAGAAAGAAGAGGGAAAAGCAGCATGGCCTCTTGTCACCAAAATGCCCAAGTAGAAAGTATGCAGACCCAAAATTACTTATATAATCAACTATGACCGGGGAAATGCTGAGAACAGCCCCGATAAACAATCACCTAAACAAGCTTTACAGTGTCAGCCAAACCCTGTAATTTAGCAGCAAGGCTAACTCACATGCTTCTTTTCTTTCTACAGATGCCATAACAAGGCAAAAGAATCTTACAAGCCTTAATTTATAAACATGTTTGTTTGAGACAAATTGTGGCAAAGCCAGCCCATCTACCACTTTCCAGTAGCACAAACATACAACACACAAACACCAGATAACCCCTCTGAAAAGCTATAATATAGAGTACCAATAGCTGTACAAGAAAAGAAAAAGCAGCCTGGTCAACTGTAATTCACATGTTTGTGATTCACATGACAATGGGACAACTTTACTGTTATGATCAACATTTGAATAACCCAATGCTTTCTTACAAGACAATATGAAATGAAACATAATCAACTGCTTTAAAGGAAATGCTTACCTCAATCATACCACTTCTTACTGCAGATATAGAAACATCAATGAGAAAAAAATATAGTGGCGGCATTGGAGGCCGCACCATGTATTCAGTTGGTGCAACAAATTCCACACTGCCTTTTGTAAGCTCAGGCCGCTGATCCAAATCAATTCTTCTTCCAGTAGCATCCAAATTTGCAAAATACTCACCAGGAACTGCACATGGAAGTTGAATCAAATAAGCATACATGCAATGTAACACCAACTATTAAAGAGATTTACAAAGAAAAAAAATCATACATCTGCCGCAAAATATAACCAATTGGATACAACTGAAAGATAAACAAAAATTACTTCGCCAACAAAGAAGTGATAGTTAACCTGCTATGTGAAATTCCAGACCACACCCATATTAAATCAATTGAAAGAATACATTATGCATTTTGCACATTACCAATGAATTAAGATAGTTTAAAATAGTGTAAGGGAAGATGCCCATAGCAAGAAAGTATGTAGAAGTAAGGGATAAGCTCATTGCCCTCCAATAGTAGGACATTCCAGAGACAAAAGATAACATAGATAACAGATAAAAGAATGTACGGCATTGAAACGATGCTGTACGCATCAGTCACAACTAAAAACACTTGATGTGACTCATTGCACAATCTTTGCTTCTTAAGTTAGATGAGTTTACCATCATTTAGTAAAGAACAGATGTTGCAACGCCACTTTCTTCCAGCATCTGTAAATGTGACATAGGGATTCACATAAGTGCGGCATCTTCTACAACGAATAATACCAGTTGAAACAAAATTAATTACTGGCACTTCTTCCTGTAAGAACAGTAATTGACAGGAAAAACATATAAGTCTTCAACAAAAGACTGTTACTGCATCCCTAAAAGTAAACTGATATAGATTCTTGAGATACTTACCCCTTCAGGAGCCTCTGCAAGGGGACAAACAACTGCTCCAAGAGGCAAATGCCATCTTGAAACTAAAGATTGGGAATTTGGTATGGCACTTGTAGTAAGTCGTAGGTATCTAGGATCACAATTCATAGGGTATGTCTCAACGAAAGAACTTGGCTCCACATCACCATCCAATGGCCTAGGAAGTGTTTTATAATCAAGTCCTGGCTCAATTGATCCTGGCATAGATGCAAGTGAGAGTGAACTAAAATCTTCAGTCAAGCTTTGGATGCCACCAATAGGAGGTGCAGAGCCTGGATGTTGCATTGAGTCCCTTGTTTGATAGCCCAAGGGAGCTGCCACTGGTGGAGGAGGAACATAACTTCCTTGCTGAATAGGAAAGGAAGAAGATGATACTGGTGGAGGAGGCATAAAACTTCCTTGCTGAGCAGGAAAAGGTAATGGTGCTTGTGAAACTACAGGCTGCTTGCTTGGATATCCAGGAAAAGGAGGCTGGAAAGTGGCTTTGGTAGCAGAATAAGATGTATCTGGAGTGGGGAAAGTCGGCTGAAAATTGGGTCTAGTCCCTGAAAGCAATGAATCTGATGGAGGTTGAGGAACATTCACACCAGATGGAGGAAAATTTACAATTTGTGGTGGAGATCCCATTGGCACCGGTGGTACTTGTGATGGTGGCCGGAAAGAAACTGGTGGAGCTGATACTTGACTTGCAGGAGGTTGAAATGGTGGCTGCCCCATAGGTGGTGCACGAGTAGGAGGAGCATGGGCTGTTGAAGGAAATGGTGGTGTTGGAAATTGCTGATAAAGTCCCCCAGCAGGTGGGGCAGATGTTATGGGTGGAGATGCAACTGATGGATCATTAAAACGAACAGGTCCAGCTACTGGCCCAGCTGATAAGAAAGGTGTCATAGTTGGGGGAGCACCTGGTGGAGTAGGTCTAAAATTGCTGGCCTCTGATCCCACCACAGGACCAGATGATGAAAAAGGTGTCATAGTTGGAGGAGCAGAAGCAAAAGGGGTAGAGGAAGGTCTCATGGGAAAATTCGGCCGACCAGGGTTCTCAGTCCCCATGGTTTTCAATAATATGACTAAGTATACTACTTAATAGGCAATCTCTCACAACTAAACCTGCCAAGAGAAGTAATATCAAAGTTGTGAGCATTCATAAAAGAAAATCAATGAAACACCAGTACAATTTAGCTAATCAAGACTGGCGAAAAGCAAGAAATTTTTCACAGACATTATCAATGATTCCAATCTCATTGGGAAACAAACCCCAGAACTCCTAACTAAAAATTTCAAATTATCACTTTTTTCAACCTTATTGCAGTCACCAATTCCATGCTGCCTGTAACTTATGGAGAAAAAAGAGAACAACTGCCTCCCTGAATCTAGAACAGAATGTTACCTAATAATACCATCTGTCACTAATTCAACTTCCACCCGCCATGTTTAACTTCCATGCCACCCTTAATTTACAAAAATGAAATTGCAATCACAGCCTTGAATCTAAGGCAAAAACATTAGCTAAGCACAATCTACCTCAACGAATTAAATTCCAACTCGCAAACAGCTTTAAAGATCACATACAACATAATTAAGCTCCCAAAGACTTTGATTTCTCCCCTTTGCTCAAACTTTATGCACTTCTAAGCAATAATATTCACATCACAACTGTAACACAAAGTTCGACAATCAAAAGAAGCTTCCAGAACAGTCTAGAACAATCGAAATTCAATTCAATTCAATTCAAACTGATTTCCGAAAAAGCTCAACTCTTCAATTCAATACCAATCCCACTCCCAACTAAAAACAGTTCAGATTCAAAACTTTACAACCATTCAATTCATTAACTGAATTCCCAATCAACTAATCCATATTCGCTACCTTAGCTTCACTTCTGACTTAAAAGTCAGCTATTTACACAGTGTCACACCGCAACCGAGAAAAATTAAGAAAAAAAAACCAAAAAAAAACAAAGAAAGAAAGTGTAAGACTAACCGGCGTCGTACAGCGTCAGTGACGGGCCATCAGAGATCTAACTGAACGGCGTCGTATTTGAGCGACTTCTCCGAAGCCGAGATCTAAAGAGAGAAGAGGATTCCGTTCGCGGAATTGCAGATCGAGAGAAGGATTTCAGCTTTTGGGGCAATCAGGGGTTTTTTTTTTAATATATATTTTATTTTCTTCCGTACTGCCTGCCTGCAAAGAGAGAAGCTCTCTCTTCTTCTCCCCTTTTCTTTCTTGTCTCAATTGTTTGGGCTTGGTGAACATTTAGGGCCCAATTAGGAAACTGAATTTGGGCCATATTATTTATAGGCCCAAATGACCCAAACTAGGTCCAGAAAAAAAGAATTTGGACCTCCGTTTAATTTATCTCATTACGAAAATACCACGATTATCAAAACTCAAGAGTTTAAAAATTTTAAATTTGAATATCGAAGAGGAAAAGGCGAAGATTGCTTTGATATGTAACAAGAAAGAACTTCGTTTCATCATTTTTTCCTTGAATTTTTTTTTTAATTTAGAATATTCTCCTTTTTATAAACAAAAATCACCTCCGTCTTTAAATGTTTGTTTTTCTTTAACTTTTATAAAAGTTAAAATAAATATTTTTTATTTGATAAATTTTATATTAAAATTTTAAAAATTTTTGTAGTATAGACATTCAATGTTGTTTTATATTAAAAAAATAGAAAAAAAATGAAAATACCCAAACCCTAATCAAAGAGGAAATGATTTCAAGTTGTCGAGCATCCCCAACTTAGGTTCATGGATAACCACAAAGGACTCAAGAACTATACAATTGCCTTAATCAAAAAAACAAACAACTACACTATTACATCAACGTCGAAAAGAGTTTAATAGATCAGCCGACCATTTCATGGGGCCCAATTTGTATTCAACAATCAGAATGGATCATTGTATACATTTATTGTACGCACACACACAAAGCCTCGATAAAGACCACACATCCTTATAAATCTATGTTTGATGTTGACCAATATGCAAGATCATTGGCTATCTCATGTGTCTGTGGACCCCAATTGATGGTTGTAAGATATTGTCCTCTCATCAATGCATGAACGTGGGTACAGTTGGATAACATGAGGGTCCCTTCTTTTTGTGGGAAAATGATTCAATTAGTCCCTTAATTTTGAAAGTATTACAAATGGTTTGTACACTGAGTTGAAGTTTTCGAAACTTTTCGATGACTAAATTGATAAAAAGCCGTAAATTGAAGGGACCGGTGGCCTAATATACCCTTACTGAAGATGTTGATGTAACTCAATGATATGGACTTACCTGTTACCACAATTGCAAGAACAAAATTGGCACATCTTAGGGATTGAATACATTAGGGTTCATGTCAAACCTAAAAATATCTTCTTAACGTAGGAATTAGCCAATTTAAGGTTTATGAGAGACAATGGAATGTGAAAAGGAATATTTGGTTTGGGGTTAGTCCAATAGATATAGTGACTAGTTAGATTGCCTTCCTTAATTATTCTTCGTACAAGTTGTGAGACAACCTCAATTAAAAAATCTTTGTGTCGTATCCCTTTGAATTGTTTGGTTTCTCTTGTTTTTGGAGACAATTGTTGTGGACCTTATGTTTTTGAATATGTTGGACAAGGCCTAAAAATATTGCCAAGTCAATAGTCTTTCCATCATTGAATCAAAAATTCGATATGATCATAAACGCACACTAACAACAACAATGATGTGAGCTTATCTCTTAAGATTATCGTGCTACAATAAGACAGTCACAAGCATAAACCTTGCTCAAAATTTTATATGAAACCTGCACTTATAAATAATAGATTTCAGCAGTGATTGGATGATTATAGACTTGTATAGATGATTGAGCATGAACCCAATTCCAATATCATCTTAATCTTTTTCAATATAGAAGATTTGGCATAATCATCATACACTAACAATGATGTGGGTATATCTATTATAGTTATCGTATTGCAACTAATCAATCGCAAAGATGAACGGTTCATCATAAGATTGTATGAATAATGGCAAGGTGATACACTCTTAACAACAATTAGACTTGTATTGATGATTGATCATGAAATCAATTCCAAAAATATCTTAATATTTTCTTTCCTTGTCTAGAAAATTAGGTTACGCAATGGATGATTATAGTCAACCTTCCCTTCCGGCCTCCACCCCATCCTTTTAATAGGATTCAATTTCAAATGTTTACCATAACTATAAAAGAATTCCACACACATACTTTAATCATTGACTTTAAACATCTACTAAACATGTACTCTTTCCATAAACTTGAAGCTAACCCACTTACATTAATTGCTAATAGAGAGGACAAGAAGCAATATCTCCATTGTTTTACCCACACTTAAGCTTGGTAGAAAATGCCAACAAATCCCATGGGAATAGGACTCTTCGTCATCATAATTTGAGGTAGACCCAAGGTAGAGCCACCCACATTTATTGCACAAAAACTTAGCACAATTGGGGGGCCAAACCAACACAGCTTGAATAAAAAAAAAGGCAATACTTTGCATTAATTGTGACTCCACCCGTGTCTGCCCCCATATTGTGGGGTAGTTAACTAACATTTTTAAAGCCCTAGCATGGCAATGGGGGGGCCCTTTTCTCTATTCCATGTCAAACAAACCCTTTTTGAATGACTTTGAGGGCATCAAAGGGCTCCAATTAAACAACAAATGGATAGACCTAAAAGAGATAGAGAGAGTTGATTGCACTTGGAGAAAAAAAATGGTTCCCCATCTTTCCTTTAGGGTAGCTTTTTCTTTTTCCATCCTTTTTGGCCTTTGTTTTTCAAACATGCACCATATGTTGCCTGGAAAGATAGCAATGATTAGGTGAAAAACATGTGAAGCAGCTAAGCAAAAGGAAAAGGGGCAACCTTAGCATGCCAAAGAGGCTCTTAGGCCATGTTAAAGTTTGACTACAAATGGAGGTACCAAATGGGTTTTAAATGGTTTTCTACTCTGAAATATCTCCCAAAATTTTGCATCTCATCCCGCCCTAGATTTTATGTATATTTTTCAAACTTTCCATACTAGCTTTGTACCTATATATATATGAGTATCATTTCATTCCTTATAACAGATCAAAGAATCGGATTTGAATCTGATTGCGAACTTAATATTACATTCTATAAATTTCGTTGTTCAAAAAATTAAATTTGATCATTTAAAAAATCAGATTTGAATCTTTTTTTTATTATATAAAAAAAATTTGATGACAGCACACCAAAAATATATTTATCATCCAGTTACATGTGAATTGATAAAGACTATGGGGTGGTTTCGATTTTTCGATGTTAACCCATCATTTTAATTAGTAATTAACTTTAATTAATTTCTTAAAAACCAATATAATGTCTACCATCATCATCCTTCAATAGTTATAAACTAGGTTTTTGTCTTCATTATTTAATAAACTCTTGTCAACTTGATTATATTGAAAAAATAAGTATCTAAATAAGCAAAGCTACTTCTTTATCAAGATTGCATATATATACCGGCCATGAGAAAGGGACTGATTTGTAGTAGGGCATAAATAAAGCAAACACATGAGGAATTTTTTAAGTATTTTTTTCCATGAATTATTGTTGGCAGAAACAAACAAAAGTGGGTGCCATCATCTCAATTTTTTTTGACAATTAGTTTAATAATTAATTATTTTTTTCTTTTATTATGTTCCATTATTAAAAAATAATCATCAACTTCTAATAGATTCAACATTGGGACAAGACATGTATTTTTTAATTGATATAGGAGAAAATTAATTATAAAATAAATAATGGGAGACCTACAATGTTTATGACATGATAATCTTAAATATTAAAATTGAAAATGAGTCAACTAACTTGATCTAAATTGTTCCCTCTTTTTAATTTGAGAGGAATATGTATTTTAATTTTTTTATTCGACAATTGAGTTGAATAAATAATGAAAACTTTTTGAAAAGGAATATAAATTTTATTGTTTATTGTCTGAGTTATATATAATAAATTAAAATTTTGTCTATATCTGATAAAATTAGAACGATAAAAATTCTTTACACAAAACATGCCCAAATAAAAAAATAGTTCAATTTTTTTTATTTTTTAAAAATATATGAAATATTTTCTCTTATTTCTAATTAGGAAGGTGATACCATATATACAAATGATTAAGTTTCACAAGCTTTGTTTGTTGGTTGGAAAGGATAAAACCCAAACTTTGCTAATTAAAATCTGTGGGTTATCTTGAAATGATGGAGATAATGACCCAACAACCAAGACTACCAATCATTTCATATTCTTTGTATCTTTCTTTATCTTCCTCATCACATCAAAGCCCTCCATAGGAAAGATCTAATATCTACCTCTTGCTCTCAAATTTGAACAAGCAATGGGAGAGAAAAGAAATCAATAGTTCCCTTTGATCACTGTTAAACAATCATGATTTCTTCTTAAAGAAAGCTTGCTATATACCCTAAAGTTTTTGTTGAACTAAAGAATAAAGAAGTGAAAATAATTGGTACCAAATCCCACACAAACTTTTATTTTGTTAAGTAATTAACCTTTTCTTTACCCTTTCATAATGAATGTTCATAACCCTCTTTCTTGCTTAAAAGAGTTTTCTTTTGAGAGTAGACTCTAATAAGCTAATTAGGTTAATTCTAATGTGAAGATTAAGATCCAAAAGGATTGAATTCAGTTATTTAGTATGATTTATACGGTTATTTCAATTTTATGATATAATTCGATTGATTTGGTTATTTCTTTTGATTAAATGTTTAACCCTAATGCTTATGCAACTTAATTACCTATCACGATGAACGGTTTCAGTTTTAATCAATACAGTTTATTTGATTATTTTAATTTTACGATATAATTCAATTAATTCAGTTATTTCTTTTTATAAAAGTTTGATTGAATGCTTAAGCCTAATACCTATTCAACTTAATTACATGCCATGATGAATGATTTTGATTTTAATAAGTATTTAATTTGATTTATCTGATTACTTCAATTTTAAGATATAATTCAATTAGTTCGATATTTTTTTCTAAAAATTCAATTAATTCGATTCCTAAAATTTTGAAATCGAATTGAGGAATGCTTAACCCTAATGTCTATACAACTTGATTATCTTAATTAGTACATGTCATGATGATAATATTCTTTTATTTTGACTAAGAT